TTGTACTCTTCTCGAAGTCGGTCAATGGTTGCCTTGTCGCATAAAGTGTGCGATGCTCCGCTGTCCACGAGTGCTTGGAGGCGTCGTCCTTTGCAGATAACCTCGAGCACGAGGGGCAGGCGTTGCTCTGAGTACCCAAAGATAGTTTCATTGATTGGGTCATTGGGTACATCCCAATATTCGTTGCTTCCTACTCCTGAGCTGGCAGCTGGCCGAGGCTGCTTGGAGAAAGGTTCTGCTCCAGTGCCCGTAGTTTCCGTGATGACTGTAGCTTCTTGTAGACCCCCAGCTTCCTTTTGAGCTACTTCAGCTCCACCGACGTCTTCCCTGGGGAACGGGTAGTCGCTGTGGGCTGGTGTCGGGAGAGGAAGTTGACCCCGTGGAAAGGTCGGCTTCTTTCCACACTCCTTAATTTGGTCCCCAAGTTCTCTGGTACCGGTACGATCTCCACAATTTTCTGCTTCTTCTGGAGTCCTTCCCGAAATTTCTCTAAGGCTCTAGCCCCTCGAGAATTACAAATTTTGATTAAAGCATCTTTGTAAGATAACTTTAACGAGTCCTTATAATTTCTTGGGTCTTCAAGGGGTTTCCCCGTCTTGGCAAAGTCTTTTTTCGCGCAGTTGGATTTTTCCTCGGCGATTTCCTCTGGCAAAGACTGGTCGTGGGGTGGAGTTTTTTCCCCATCATTTTCTCATGTTCCCGTCGAATCAGCTGCGTCGAAGTTGATTTTTCCGGAAGTCCGCGGCCGCTTTCGTTTTGTTGCAGTCGAAGATTCGGTGACCCGGCACCCCGCAGAAATCACACGTGTAGTTGGTATTTTTCGGACGTGGCCGCCCTTCGAACATGTCGACTTCCATCGGGTCGGCGAACGTGGTGTGAGCCGAGCGGTCACCCTGTCGTGTACTGCCGACGTGCGTCCGTCGTGTCCTGGCGTTGACCATGTCGAAGCGTTCTGCGGCCGATACGACGTCACTGTAGCTCGCGTAGTTTGACGCTGCCACTTGTCGTTTGACTTCGGTCTTCAGCCCGGCGAGATACGATTTTACTTTTTCCCCTTCGGTCAGGTCGGGAATGCGGTTATAAAATTCCTCCATCAGCTGCGTGTACTGCGCTACACTCCCGAACTGTCGTTGGCGATGATTTTTTCCCCGGGCAAGGAAACCCAAATTTATCGGCTCGAAATGTTTCAGCAGGTCGGTGCCGAACTGCTGCCACGTGGCTTCGCCGTGGATGAAGGTGCTGTTACCGCCAATCCACTCGAGTGCCGGCCCTCGCATCAGTGTTGCCGCGAGTCGTACGGTTTGACCATCCCAGACTGGCGAGCTCCATCCGACGGCTGCGAAATAGATCTCCATGCCAGCGATCCATCTGCGGACGTCGGAGTTTTGATCGATCGGATCGAACGGCTCAAGTGGGCGCGGTTTCGGAGCCTCGAGAAATTGTTGCGACTGCTGCGTCGTCGCCGTTGTCGTTTCGTGTTGCGCTTTGGCGAGTCGAGTTACTCGCTCGAACTCGTTTCGCCACGCTTCGCGATGCGCTCCCATCTCCTCCTGAAGGGCTGCGATGCGCGCGAAGAGCTGCTGGGTAACCTCGGCGTTGTCAAAGTTCGCCATCCTGTTCAAAACACGCGCGGAGGGGGTAATTCAAAAAAACGCGGAGCTGGTGCTTACTCGAATCGGCGTCGAATTCGTCGCCCCTGGCGGTTTTTTTAAGCAGGATCCCCCGCTGCTGCTGCTTAGCTGAGCACGGTCGAGTGAGAAAAGCTCTGATTACCAAGTGTCAGAGGATCGAATGTGTCGAGGAAAGGTTGCACTATCGATCAGTACAAGGCCCTTTTATACTTCCAAAGTACATCAGGTAACCAGGTTTATCTTATCCCAAGGAAATAGACCCTTCTAGAAATAGAATCACCCTGCGTATAGCCACGCGAGGCTATTGGCTTTAAGGGATTACGGCAGGATTACGCTAGATATAGCGCACCAGTACATCCCGAGCCTGGTCGGTGATATAATGATAATAATAGGATAAACCAAAGGTTTATGGAAAAGGAGAAATAGGAATCCAAATGGGATGATATAAAGAGCAAATGGATCAAAATGGAAAGAGGAATGAAATGGAAAGGAGAAATGAATGGAACGGGGTCGTACTCTCACATAGGGCGGCTAGGGTGGGCTAGAGCAGAAGCGCAGATGAGCGAACCTAACCTAGCTAATACCATCTCATAATAATGAATTGACTAGAATGGAGGGATAGAAGGGAATATATGGTTGGGTGTTGTACTCTCTAAGAGCACGAGCCCTACTAGCCTATAACTTCTATATATGCTGACCGGACATGGCTTCGGACGTGCAAAATTACGTGGGCGCGTGTCTGATCTGCCCGACAATGAAATCATCACGCCAATGGTCAGCCTCTCGAACCACCCCAACAACCTTGGCAACACGTGACAATGAATTTTCTCATTGACCTGCCGACCGGACCAAGTGGTAACGACGTGGTTCTTGTCGTCGTCGACCACCTCACGCTATGTCGCACGACAATGACAGGCGAAGAAACCGCTCCCATGTTCATCTCGACCGTCGTTCCCCTGCATGGTATCCCTGCGGCGAGCATCAGCGATAGAGACCCGAAATTCACCTCATGTTTTTGGCAAGACACGTGGAATCGATATGGCGCTTATCACCCGTGATTCGATGGTCAGATAGAATTGACAAATCCGACGATGAAACAATTGATTCGCTCGAACTGCCCGAATATTCGCAAGTGGGAAGATTCGAGTTTTCTTACAGCAATGCACCCTCCGCCACGACCAATCATTCGTTATTTTTCCTAAACTGAGGAATGGATCCGACAGTACCCATTTCCGCAAACGTTGAAAATCAAGTCCCTCGATCGCATCATTTCGTCGAAGACCTTCAGACTGCCCGCACAAAATCCATCGAATTTATTCGAAAAGCCAATGTCACTGCTCGCCAGTATGCCGACCGCCACATGCATGGTATTATTCTGACTGCAGAGAAATTAGTCATTTTCGAGATAAAAAAACCTTCGCCTGCAGATACCGCCAAAACTTCGACCTCGTGACTGTGGAACATTCACAATCATCAAGATGAGAACGCCCGTGATTGCCCAACTCCGCCTGCAAGACGATTGGAAGATTCATAATTCATCCCACGTTATGGCACGTTCCTCGCCTGTGGCACACCTTGTGGCAAGTTTTCCGTCTGCCTTTTTCAATGTATAGGATCATTCAAAATCTCCTTTCTTGCAATCGTGACCGTTAAAAAGCTTGCCAAAACTTGCCACAAAGTAGTCTGCCACGGGCGAGGAACGTGCCCTTTGCCTCCTTCGTTCTTTTGTCGCCGACGAATCGAACGTCGCTCAACAGCCGATCGCCTAGGATCTACGGCCAGCTGAGGAGATGCTCATCAAACCATCGAAAATCTTGAGCCATCGCGTAAGAATCAACGGTCAGGAATGACACGCTGACTTTCTGATACGATGGACTAATCGTACCAGCGAGGACGACATGTGGGTTCCATTGGTACAAGTACAGTCACCTACTGCACTCCGGGATTATTTATCCCGCAAGCACGTCGCATATATAGGCCACCTTCGCTAGAGGGGGGGTAGTGTAAGGAATTTTCTATCCCCTAGTGAGCTACACCGCTACCCCGTACACTGGCCCCACACGACACCGACATCCGCCCTAGCTTCGGCCCGAACACGTCGCACCGAACCATTCCACGTCACTCCGAAGCGCTCCGCGTCCTCGGATGCCTTCTCCGAACCTGATCAATCACGCGGCTAGGATTGCTTTGGTGTTCCTATATCTTGCTTCAACATTCCTTTGTACCACATTCTGTTATTATGAACCTCCATATTCGATTCTGCGCTACTCTGGTTGAACGCACATAACAGCGGGGAACGTTCACGCATAACATGCGTTATAGGGTTTAGCGGACTGCCCTGCTGTAAAAAGCCTCCCTCCAATCAAGCTCCCCGAAATATCATCCGATCTTGTGCGCTTTGGTGGAGCTCAAGCGGACCGCGCGTCTTTGTAAGGACAGCTCAGCTGCTAGAGTCAAGTAGTAAAACACCAACGAACTCCACTCCACCACACACACGCTGGAAACTTGGCAGAAGTGTCCAGCAACTCGCCACTTTCGTTACTGTAGACCTTGATCTGTACTGCTATGTCTGTATGCCAGGCAAAGTCTTCTGCGTTGTGCTATGGGCCTGATCGCAACCCTAGACTTGCCATGCCTTTCCGGTCTGGGACATTAGGTTCCTTCCAGCAAAATGGTGGTGCTAAGGTGAGCTGTTGGTTGACTCTGGTTACTCGTGTACACGACTGCTTAGCCAAAATAGCTCGGAACAAAACTGCCCCACAATATTACCCAAACAGGACGGAAATATCCTATCGGACCTTTTCCACATGCTCGCAATCTCGGCACACGCTTCACTTTCCGATTTAGCAGCGACCAATCGTTCTTTCTGCCCCAGCCCATGCCACCTCCACCTCCGCCAATGCCGGCCGCAAATGGCAAGAAATGCTTTCCCCTTGAATTGCAATTTGCACCCCCATGTGAATTTTGCTCTTCAGTTCTTCCCGCCTCCAATGGCGCACCGCCATCCTTGCCTCATCACGTCACTCCCACTGATGTTCGTTGCGGGCAAGGCCAGCAAGGAGGAGCTCCCCCCGATCGCCCCGATCGCCCCGATCGCCGGGATCGCCCCGATTGACACTCCTTTCCAGCAGCGTGTTGTGCGTGCGTTCCTGCCAATTGAATCGGCCTCCCTCCCCCTCCCGCCCCGTTGCTTGACCCAATCCCCGCTGGCTTGGCTTCCCCAAAACCAGGCTCCTTCGGGAGCCGTTTTACACGTAATCGTCCATCCGTCCTTCCTTACCTTCCAAAAAGAGCCTTGTTTCGGGGACGCCAGTGGGGAGACGGTCAAGCCGTTTTACTTGTCCGTAATCGTCCGTTCGTTCTTATCTGTCACAGCTACCTTCCGACCGACGCACTTCTATTGTTTCCGTTCCGACCCGAAAGAACTCTTTTGACAGCTCGGTCAACCAGTCCCAGCTGCACTCCTTTGTTCGTTTCCCTGCGATCTCTCACGGAACTTCGCGTCTGTACGGCGAGCTCTGAATTATATCCCTCGCATGTACCTACCATAGGTCCATACTCCAAACTGTAGCCCTCCTTCCAACGGTTACTAGTAGTGGACGAAACTCAACTCAGCCCTCGTTCTAGCGGTTTGTATAGCCTTCCTCTCTGCGGTACAAAACGAAAACTCTCGTTTTGTGGCGCCTCGAAATAAAACTCCGTCCAAATTTAGTAGCCTCTCTTTTCACCGTCCGCACAGCACCCTCTTCGAGTCCGGAGGCCGGAATAACATTCCCCCGAAATGCAACCCATGAGAAAGCTCTCACCTCGCAGGAGCAGCGGCAGCAGCAGCAGCAGCGGCGGCGGCGGCGGCAGCAGCACTACGCGCGAGTTTCGCAGAAATCTTAGCGGCGAAACAACTACCAGTAGCGCTAATACCGCTGGTACTAGCAGCAGCAGCGCGGCAGATAGTAATGCAACGCGTAGCAGGAGCACTACGCCATCATTGCTCGCACGTCGCGGTCGGACGTCACCGCTCCCAACCGTGGAGCTGCCACTCCGAAGCCCGGCAACCACGGCGGAGCTACTAGCAGCGCCACTCCAGCTACAACGCGCCGCGCCGGCGGGGCCCGGCGGCGGCCCCCGCCCGTCACTACAGCACCGCGTCGCGGCGGTCCCGCCGAGCTCCGCCATCATCATGCCGCCGCCGCCGCATTACGAAGTTGCGCCGCACCGTGCCGCAAGCGGAGACGATGCGACGGTCCCTCCGCCGCATTCCGAAGTTGCGTGGCCGGCGTGCGCCCAAGCCTCCGCCGGGAATCGCCGCCGCCTGGTCAAGTCGGCGACGTTCGCTGCGGAACGCGGCGCCGCCGCCGCCGCGGGAAACGAGCTCGTGCCCAACCCCAGCCGCAGCCGCAGCGACCCCGCCGCGCATCATCGCGCGGCGAACGCGGCGGCGACTCGAGCAAGCGCCGCGTATGGATGCTCCGAGCCCATCGACGCCACCGCCACTGCCACTGCCACTGCCGGCGACAATGGCGGCGGCGCCTCCGGCGGGAGTCATCCTCAGCAACTACTCAAATCGGCGACAATGGCGGCGGCGGATCGCAGCAGCACGCAAACTCGCAGTCCTCCGTACTCGAGCCTCCGAGGGCTGCAGGTTTGTACGCGGCATCAGCCGCAGCATCCGCTGCCGCATCTGCCGCCGCATCAGTCTGAGCCGCCACGCGCGCAGAAGCCGATGGTTCAAGTTGCGGAACAACCGCCGCGCCACAGTGGCGATAGCTCATCGAATCAACTCAATGCTCAACACAATGTCGGCGCAGCGGCGTCGCTCTCCGAGTCCCCTCCGTCTTCCGCGGTGGCGGCGGCCGCGCCGCTGGCTGCAGGTGCCGCGGAACGAGTGTGGGCGAGGCGCGCCGCGGAACGAGGCCTCACAGCTGCGAAAAGCCACTCTTTTAACGGCGTTAGTAGCGCTCTCCGCGCGGCGCTCTCTAACCATTCGCCCCCTTCGACTTCCCCATCGTCCCTTTCCCCGCCATCGGCGCAACCGCTTTCGCAGCCCCGGTTAGACCGCCGAGGCTTCTGCGGCGCGGACCAAGCCTCGGCTTCTACGGCGGCGGCGGCGGCGGTGGCGCATTCATTCCGCGACACTTCGCCGAGTCCGAGTCGGTGCGCAGCGGCGCCCGCCGGCGGTCCGATGACGATCACGCGGCGCCGAACGAGTCCGCGGAATGCGGCGGGAGCGGTGGTAACGTCCAGCGGCGGCGGCATCGACGCAACGGACGGCGCGTATTCCCAGGAAGAAACCGACGTGACAGGCCCGCAGGGCATTCGGCGCGTAAAAACGCTTCCGCTCAGGGGGGGAGACGGGGGGCACGGCTTCTTGTGCGGAGACTCGGTCCCGTCCCCCCCCGCGTACCCCAAGCCCGCGCATCCTTCCCCGCGCACGCAGCGCAACCTGCTGTGGCTCTGCGGACAGCCGTACTCCCCGCCCGGGTCGGCAGCAGCAGAGGCAGCAGCACGGCAAACCAGCACGGGGAATATCACTAGTAGTGCTACAGCAGGTGCTGCTGGTGGTGATGGCAGCAGTGGGGGGAACAGCCAGAGCCATTGCACTGCTTCCGCGCATTGCGAGCTGAAGCGCGCGGGCCTGAGGCTGTCTCCGCTCTCCCCCTTCTCCCCCTCCTCCCGCTTCTCGGCGTCCTCCCCCTCGTCGCCGTCGTTGCCGCTGCCAACGTCCCCGTTACAGTTGTCCCCGCTAGTAGCATCCTTCGGGGCGCCGTCAAGTTCTTTGCCGTCCTCGCGACTCCCGCTGCATGCCACCATTCCGCTCCGCAGCCATGGCGGCTCTCCAGAGCGGCAGCGGCTGCACAACTACGCAGCCGCGCAAGCGTGCGCGCATGCGTCCAGTCTGCGGTCGGATTACAGCTGCCCGCGGTCTAATCTCTGGCGGGAGGCGCACACGCAGCAGCTGATGCAGAAGCAGCAGTCGCGTCACCTCCAGCGGCAAAGCACCACGCACCCCGGCCATGCGTCATCAACCATTACTAGTAGCACTACGAGCACTGCTACGACCAGTAGTACCATCAGTGGTACGAGTTGTCCCAACGGCCAGCCTCATGGGCTTAACCCCCTCCGCCATCAGCAGTACTATTGTCCATCTTCTGGTACTAGTAGTAGTAGTAGTACTACTACTACTGCCGCCGCTGCTGCACGTGGGGCGTCGCCTCGTTGCGTGTCGCCACGTGGCACTCACGAGACACGACACTCCGCCGGGCACGCGCGGAATCATTCCGCGCCGTTGTCAATGAGGCCGTTGGGTGCTGCTGACGTGGTGCCACGTCAACGCGCGGTCTCGCCACGGTATTATATGGGCAGACCTCTCAGCCTGGGGGGCGGAGCGCGTTTCGAGACATCCCTAAACTCAGCGGCAGACGGAGCGTTCGGGCGCAGGCGCGTCGAAGGCGGCACGGCAAGAATGGTCTCGCCCGTGTTGCTAGTCGCGCAACGGCTGGAGGTGTGGTTCGAAGAGGCCACATCAGCAGGGTCGTGGGCACAGCCTCGCGGTTCGCTTGCCTCTGCTGCGTATGAAGCTGTTACTAATGCCTGTTACTAACGCCTGTTACTGACGCCTGTTAGGAATGCCTGTTAATGACGCCTGTTACCAACACCTGTTACTAACGCCTGTTACTAACCCCTTGTTTCCTGCCGCGCTGCCTGTTCCTCCTGGGCGGTTGGTGCTTTCTAAACCGAGTCAAAACCCTCGTGCACACCCTATATTGGTGGTGGTAAACCACCAGAATCTCAGCGCAAGCCTAGTCGCGCAACAGCAAGAGCGGGAGCAGTGAGGGGAGGGGGAGTACCGTGGAGTCTAGCAGGGAGGAAGGCGGAATCAGAAATCCAGCCTGCCTTAGTGGGAGGAACGGAGGAGCCTCATTATGCATAAGGAGCGGTACACCCACCAACGCCTGCAAACCAGCCAACACTACCTTCAAACGAGGATGGCACGAACCAGCCCTGCCCTGACAGTAGCCCCCACAGAAGCAGAGGGACATAGGAAGGAGGGAACTCAAATGCAAGTTTTCTGGAGGGCACACTAGGATGCTGCCTGTGCTTATGACATCGCACTACTTTGGCCCCAAGCCAGCTCTCTGCTAGCTAGCTCTCTGCTAGCTCTCTGCAGAGGCAATGCAGCAAGTGGGACAAGACAAGGAAGCATTGGTACTGTATTGGAGTTCCCTACAAATGCTATTTGCCTTCTGAAATGGTGTGAATTGGTTTAGGGAATTTGTGTGATGTGTGTTTACAAGAATTTCAGAGCGAACTAATCATTCATTTATGTTGAAATGGGCATATGAATAATCTCAAAGAAGCTTAGGACACTAGCTAGGTAGCTAGGATGAAGGAACGTAGGTAGGCAGCTACTAGGAAGCTAAGAAGGCCGCCATGAAACTGGCGGCGGGGTTTAGCTAGAAGGTAGGCGAGAGTGTCAAGAGAGGAGTTGGACTAGGAAGTGAGAGGCATACAAGGAGGGGTTTGTACCCTCTACAGCAAGGTTCAGTTACCTACCAAGCCTACAAATTATATAACACACTATATACCGTAATCCCCCGTATATAACACCCTATGGTGTATATAAAAATTCACTAAAAAAATGACTGGGTGTTAACAGTGGCCCGGAAAAATATAGTGCCCATGTGTTATGTAAAATGCAATTTGAATTTGAGTGTTTTAGGCCATGTGTGTTCAAAATGCGCGGAGCGACTGTTAGCGAGGTACAGCATCCGCTAAGACGAAACTCACGAAGCAGTCGTCGTTGGCCAATCCCTGCTGAGTTGTGCGGCACCTGCGACCGTCATGATCGTGACAGAATCCACGACTTCGAGGGGAGGATTTCGCTCGGGAGGATTCTGACCGTCAAATCACAACAAAATCCGCGACTTCGACGGTCGAAATCCTCCCGAGTCTCGATTTTTGCTGACGTTTCAATTTCGCGCTGCAACTTGTGTTGATGTTTCTGCCCGTTTTTTCGCTGCTAGTGGTAGTTGACATTGCGTTTTTCATCATGTTTGTCTTTTTTCTCAATCGATTTGAGCTTGAAAAACTATGAAATACTGTTCTTTGCTGCATAAAACGAGGAGGGTGTTATGTAAAATGCAGCCCCCGAAAAGCGGGTGCTCTCCTAAATTCACCCTATCATAAGCTGTCCCCCGCATAAACCACCCACGGAGTGACTATTTCGGCGGGTGTTATATACGGGGGATTACGGTAATTCTGACACACCCCCTAAGCTTGGTAGTTGAAAGCCCACGACACACACAGCAAACACACACACACACACACACACACACCCCCTAGCCTAGCACCCAAATACTCAGCAACAGCCACGGCCATTCCAGCATGGCCAACCTCACGGCGCGAGAGGCGGGGCGACGGTGCAACAAGGGCTGCAGGGACACCGTCAGCATCGAGTGTGGCATCGACAGCGGCGGCGGCGGTGGCGTGCGGCGGGAACGCCCAGCGGCATCAGCGGCGGCGGCGGCTTCGACGACGGCAGTCGGCGGCGGTGCAGGGCCCGCAGTACTCGGCGGCGTGGCCGGGTTCCACGACGGTGGGACGGCCGGTGCAAGGCAGCCGTAGGCTGTGGCGAGTAAGAGGGGACGCAGGGGACGGGGGCAGGGCTGCAGCAGCACACGGTGTGGCGCGTCAGCGTGCTGGCGTGCTGGCCAGCGCTAAGGCCAAGCACTGGCCGCATGTCGCAACAGCAGCACGTCGAGACGGTCGCGGCGGTACGACACGACCGGGACGACGTCAGCGCAACGCCACGGTTGCGCGTTGAGACGGCAGCGGCAGGACGGGGCAGCCTGCGACAAGACGACGCCGCCACAGCGTGACGCCGCCGCGGCTGCCATGGCAGCGTGAGGAATAGGAGAGGAAAGTGCGGCGGAAGCGTGAGGAGCAGGCCCGCTAGGAGCGGACTGCTCTGATACCATCTCAAAGAAGCTTAGGACACTAGCTAGGTAGCTAGGATGAAGGAACGTAGGTAGGCAGCCACTAGGAAGCTAAGAAGGCCGCCATGAAACTGGCGGCGGGGTTCAGCTAGAAGGTAGGCGAGAGTGTCGAGAGAGGAGTTGGACTAGGAAGTGAGAGGCATACAAGGAGGGGTTTGTACCCTCTACAGCAAGGTTCAGTTACCTACCAAGCCTACTAATTATATAACACACTATATAATTCTGACAAATAATGCCCTAAAAGAACAAGAATATGCAATGCATATATACGTGATGGTACACTCAGGGCCCCAGATAGCAGACGAAATCGGTCTGATGGTCTGAAAATCAGACTCGATTTTTTAGGTTCATCTGATTTTTAAGACCACCTGTTATATTTCGTCTGAACGTTAAGACGGATGTTTAAATGTCGCCTGAAAAAACAGACCGCGAGTTATATTTCATCTTGAAATTCAAACAACGCGTACATTTTCGTCTGACAGCTTCATCCACTGGCCTTTGTACCGTAATCCCCCGGATATAACACCCGCCGGAATAGTCACTCCATGGTGGTTAATACGGGGGGGAGCTTATGATATGGTGCATTTTTTAGAGTACCCGCTTTTAAGGTGACGAATTTTACATAACGCCCCCCCTGTTTTTATTGTTTGGGGTACACTACGACAATTGTATATTCAACCGAATGGATCCTATCACTACAGCAGCATTACAACACGCTTGAATTCCTACTCATTGTTGCCTACCAGAATAGCATCCACTGAGTAACGCAAGGCCTAAATCATGTCTTAGGGCTTTCATTTAGAAATTAGGGACAACATTCACTGCCTAGTGCTCCTCGTCATCCTCATCTCCAGCATGCCAAGCCTCTACGTCATCATCGTCGGATGCAATATCGTCCCAATCGTACTCTTCAGTCCATCGGGAGGCGGCCAGACCAGCAAGTATCTCCGCCGCTGGCGCCATCTCTGCGGAGTCCACATCGCTGCTCTCTGTAGTGTCAGCCGCTTCAGGCGCACTTGCAGTTGCTGCTGGTGTTGTCAATGTTGATGCTGCAGCGTTAAGTCGAGCCTCCGCCATTGCAGAGGATTCCGCCACATCGACCGCGCCAGGTGTCGTTGGTGCATGCTGCGGCAGGTCGACGTTGACAGTGATGTCACACTCCTCGTCCTCCGAGAGCTCGTCGGCGGTCGGCTCTACGAACTCGGCTTCGAAGAGGGGGTTCGTCTTCTCGCCGGTCGTCTCAACCTCTGCATGCACATCGTCCATGACCTCCAGCTCCGCCTTGTCGCGCATGTGGGCGAGTATGAGGTCGTCTTCGAGGCCATCGAGGTCGTTGGAGATGCCGAAGGTCTTGAAAGCCTTGCGGATGAGGTCGGAAGGGACTGCCTCCCAGGCGGCCGCGATCCACTGCAGCACCACCTCCGCCGGAGGCTTCTTCAGATTTCGTGAAGGGCGGACAGGGTTGGGTGGAGATTACATCGCGCATTAGGCAAACCAAAGCGAGAACTTGAGCAACACGTCAAGGCATCGTAAAGCAAACGTTAAACAAGAACGTATGAAAAGCAGAGCTCAAGGATATGAAGGGTATCACCTGCGGGAGTTGTCGCGTCGCAGCCGAACTCCTCAAACCAACCTGAGTAGGACCGGCGGACATGAGCCTTCAAGCAGCGGTTCACAGCTACGTCGAGAGGTTGGACGATTGGCGTGCAGCCGCCAGGTATGACGGCACGTGAGAGTTTGAAGCGACGCATCAACGCCGCCACCCCCTCAGTCAGATGGCCTTTGTAGGAGTCGAGGACAACGAGAGCCTTCTGCCGCCCACCACGGCGCGCAGGAAGTCACTTCAGAAAGGGGACAAGGACCGTCATAATCCAGTCATTCACGTGGTCCTCATCCATCCATCCCTTCTCCTGTGCGCGGATGACGATTCTTGCATGCAATAATGAACGAACCAGAAAGCTTAGTGTTAGTTTCTAACTCCCGTACATGAAACACTTACTGACATCAAGACCCAGTCGATACTAACCTGGCGGGACTCGAATCTTGGGGAGCGTCTTGCGCTTGAAGATGACATACGGCTTGAGCTTCTGCCCGCCAGCAGTGACCGCCAGCATCACGGTCAACCGCTCCTTTTCGTAGCCAGCAGTCCTAACATGTGCTGTCCTTGAACCGCGGACTTCTAATGTAGTCTCTTGGGGCATTTCGAGGAACAAGGGCGTCTGATCGGCGTTGATGATCAAGTCGTCTTCATACTTGTTGACTGTGCGCATCTGGCGTACGAACTCCCAGAGCTTCACGACTTTAGCCTCGCAATCTGCATAACGAGAAGAGAATAAACGATGTGAGTGTACATGCTTAAGTTCTTACAGCTCAATGAATGGGAAACCAAAAGCGAAATTGCTAAAGACCTTGCATATCAAGCACACAACGCACCGTTGGTTAGGCGCTGGCCCATCTTTGTCTTGACGCGCCGTGTCAATCCCCAAAGCGTGCGGAACCGGAAGGGCCAACGGGATGACGCACACCAGTCGACACCGGGATGGCGCTTCCGCATGAACTTCCTACTCCACTTCTGCAGACAACTCACCGACACCGCCAAGCCGCGCGCACGGTGTGAGAGGAAGCGGTTGTACATCTCCTTCTCCATGTCGGGGAACTTCGCCTTGCGTCCAGCACCGATGAGACGACGCCTGCATCCCGCCGCCGCCGACAGCCGTGACTTGTTCTTTTTCCACTCGCGTATCTGACAGGGTTGTACCTCGGCCATCTTCACCAGATTGCGATTTGAAAGCTTAGGGTCGGAGTCAAGATGGGCCAACCAGTATAGCTTTTCCGCCGCTGTGCGCGAGACTCTCTTGCGCCTGGTCCTGCGATGTCTGGGGGAGGGAGGTGCAGCATCCCGGTTAACTCGCGGCATGTGGGGACAACGAATGGGCTGAGGGAAAGATGGAACAATGACACGAGGAAGTGTCGGGGGTGGCTCTGGCTCTCCATCGGCAGCATCTTCCCAGTGTAGCTCATCGTCGTCCTGCCAATCGTTGTCCCACTCCTCGGGACGACTTGCAATCGGAGGTGATGTATAGGGAGGTGCGGGAGGAGCAGGTGGGGCAGGAGGTGCAGGAGGCGCGGGAGGCGCAGGCGGTGCTGGCGGCGCAGGTGGTGCTGGAGGAATCAACGGAAACGGACGGAGAAGAAATTGACTACCGTGGGGTGGACGATGGGTTCGCAAAACTGAGATGCCGCTAACAGCACAAGCCGCCATGACTGAATCTCTGCCTACAAAATCGCCTCGGCGAACTTATGCCCGAGGCTCTGTTAGAGAGGTTTGACATCGCGAGAGATTTTCTGTTGGGAAGACAATACTGGAACGCTAAAATGACGCAGCGACAACAAACGCATGAACAAGAAACGTGGGCCGACCCCCTACCCGAGCCGCGCACGGTTCTTGACAGCCAAAAAAGACCATCGCATGCTAGCATGCGATGGTCTGGTCAAGAAGCTTCCAAAGGGCATCTTGAGATGCCAGATTCCATCGCAGGTGTTGCGCCGGCAGCATCTACTGCACCTAGCCGTGCAAACGCAGAGCTGGCAGCGGAGGGCAGCAATCCGCTGGCTGTTGGCAGCTGCGACCGTTAGGGATTGGCCACAAATCCTATAGCCCATGCCGAGTTCGACACGTTGGCATGGCCATCCTCTCATCCAAAAAGCACAAAACTCCCTAACAGAAACCCAATGCATGTGTAAGCCTAGAAACAATCAGATTCAAAATGAATTATACATAACACATGGGCCTTATATTTTTCCAGGCCACTGTTAACACCCAGTCATTTTTTTAATGAATTATTATATCCACCATAGGGTGTTATATACGGGGGATGACGGTATTTGGCTGCAAGGGACTTCACCAAATTTGCAAGTTTTGTGAGGGGTGTGAGTGAGAGCAATGTCTCTGGTTTGGGGGACTTAGCCGATTCTCCTGGGTCACGACTTTCGAGGGGTGTGGGAGGTGTCTCTAGTTGTGGGGACTAAACTTTAAAATCTGGGTTGCGAGGGGTGTGGGAGGAATGCTTTTGGCTAGGAGGACTTAGCCAAAATTCCTTAGCAGGGGGGATTGTGGGAGAGTGGTCACGTGTTTCGAATTGTTAGCAAAAATTCTGCGCCTGCAACAATACCGTAAAGGCTGAGCTGGGTGAATGAGAATCCTTGTTGACCTGGCATAGCTCGTTTGGTGTGTGGACCAGGCCTCTAGAAGTCAGGGTAATTACACTGTTTGGTCAAGGAAAACAAGGTGAAATCTTAACCTAGCCTTGCTTTTGATGCATTCAAAATATCGATACCCCTCCATGGACAGGCTAGCCAGAATTATCCCACGGTCAATTTCCGAGTGCCGGATAGACCCGCCATGAAAAATCTAATGTAAACGTTCGTGCGCTTAGTAAAAAAATTCCCCCCTGTCATTGTCAGGAGTGGCTTATTCAGAGCTTGACGAAACTCTTGCCTGCAAAAACAGTCAAACTTCTTAAGGCTCCCAGCTTGGACGAGCTGGATCTCGGGCAAACTCGGAAACTGAAGGGTGACCCCTAGGATATCGAGAGGCCTGGTGTGGAGCAAAAAACACCCTGAAAAGGTAGGTAAGGAAAATATTCTGGGTTCGCTAGCGGACAAAACTTTCGGGCCAGTTCCTCCTTCCAGCCCATCGAGGGAGCCAGGGCACATCAGCAAGGGTAGGGAAATCACATCGACACATCAACAAGCGTGAAAAATCCCCCCCCCGCCCCCCCCCCCCCCCCGCCCCCCCGCACGAGAAGTATGACTTTGCGAGGAGTGTGAATGTACGGAAAACTTGAATAAAGTACGTAGTGTAATATACTACAATTCTGCGATAAATTTTCGTCTGATTTTTCCGACACATCAATTATTTTCATCTGAAGAAACAGACGTGTGCAATTTTTTCGTCTGAACGTCAGACGAAGGCAAAAAACTTGGTCTGATTATCAGACAGGCCTAAAAGTTAGCAAGGACCCTGGGTACACTACATATTGCCCTAGGTCTAGTCTGACTTTGGATGATGCACACCTAACCTAACCACACCTGTCAACATATATTTGTATATGTAATAGGCTAAATAGGTGCATGCTTATAGAGAGTACAACACATAAGGACAAAACCACCTTGTATCTCACATTCTAATTCATTCCGTTACTCTGAGATTGTATCACGCTAGGCTAGGTCCTCCTCGCCCACCCGCGCTTCCGCCCTAGTCCTAGCCCTAGCCCTAGTCGCCCATCGCTAGCCGCCCGTTACTAGCCGCTCGTCGTTAGCCGCCCGTTGCTAGCAGCCAGTCGCTAGCCGCCCGTTCCTAGCCGCCCGTCGCTAGCCGCCACTGCTAGCCGCTCGCTGCTCACCGCCGCTCGCCGCTCACCGCCGCTGGCCGATCGTCGCCTCGTGCTGCTCGTAGCTGCCAACCGCCAGTCGACGCTGGCCGCTAGCCAACTGGCCGCCCGTAGCAGACAGCCGCCCGCTGCCCGTCGCCGCCAGCCGCCGCTGGCCGCCCGCAACCGCTGGCCGCCCGTAGCCGCCAGCCGCCTGTTGCCGCCAGCCGCCCGTAGCAGCCGGCCGCCCATAGCCGCTGACCGCCCATAATCGCTGGCCGCACGTCGCCCCCAGCCGCCCGTAACCGTCCACCCACTGGCCACCCGTAGCCGCCGGCCGCCTCTCGCCCCCTGGCCCCGCGTATCGGCATCTACAGGCTGACCCCTTCTCGCCGGCCTCTGCTCACCGGCCCCTGCTCATCGGCCCCAGTCCGCTCAGGCCCCAGCTCTAGCCGGCCTCTGCTCGATGGCCCCTGCCGATCCGGCCCCCATCCGCGCCGACCTCTGTCGGCACCAGCCCCGGTCGCTGCCGACCTTAGCTGCGCCGCGCCACCATGCCGCCGAGCCGCCGTGCCGCTGCATCGCTGAGCCGCCGAACAGCCGCATTGCCGCACTATCAGGCCGACCTGCCAGCCTTGGCTTCCCATTGGCGCCGGCGCTCCTGCCAGTTGTGAGAGTACGAACCCATTCCATTCCTTTCTCCCTTCCATTTCATTCCTCTTTTTATCCTGGTTCATTTGGTCTTTATCTCATCCCATTTAGATTCCTATTTCTTCATTTCCATAAACCTTTGGTTTATCCTGTTATTATGATTATATCACCGACCAGGCTCGGGATGTACTGGTACGCTATATCTAGCGTAATCCTGCCGTAATCCCTTAAAGCTAATAGCCTCGCGTGGCTATACGCAGGGTGATTCTATTTTCTAGAAGGGTCTATTCCCTTGGGATAAGATAAACCTGGTTACCTGATGTACTTTGGAAGAATAAAAGCGCCTTGTATCAATCGATAGTGCAACATTTCCTCTAGACATTCGATCCTGTACCACTTGGTAATCAGAGCTTTTCTCACTCGGCCGCGCTCAGCTAAGCAGCAGCAGCGGGG